TCTCTCTCTCTCTCTCTCTGTCTCTCTCTCTGAAACAGTCCAGTTAGCTCCTCATCCCTGACCTGTAATTCACAAAAGCTAGTCTTTGTGCAGGTTTTTGAAAAAAGAAAAAAAAAAAAACCCTCCAGGTATAGACAAGCGTCTGACTCAGAGCACAGACAAACTATTTTCGACAAATGAGAAAAGGCCTTTTGTGTGGAATTGCTGGGAAACGCTTGAACACCAAAGCATCATCTAATATATTTGCACATACCAATGCACCAAATGTGTCCAATACGAGAAAACCTCGACTCTAGTAATGTCACTTGTGGTATTGGCGTACTAATTTGAACTGATCACATGCGGTTACACCCCCAGCAGAGTATGCATGGTCAGCATTCGAATGCACAGTATATGGAGACTATGTCATTAATTGATCAATGTAAACACACTGGTTTAATCAGTATCTTAATACTGTCTAGTTGATCATTCCATAAAGCATACCCCAAGTTCTCAGTTTGACCTCTTGACTCTCAAGCAAACATTCCTTTCATTTTAGGATACAGTTGGAAACAAATATCTTATGTAAAATGTACCAAAAAAATAAATAAATTGCTTAAGATTAAGGAATCTAATACAGTGAACATTCAGCTCAGGCTTCTAAGAATTAGATGCAAGTTATTACATTTATTAATCTGTGTGGTCACAAATGTTAAACTAGTAGAAAAATGACAGCTTTTTGAATAAAACTGTATTAATGTACTTTGAGAAAGAAAAAAACAACCTATGCAGTGTATGTTAACAGTGATGGTTTGTTTGTTTTTAAGAAAATCTGAATAAGCTGACTGTCCCACCAAAATAAATTGTAAACAGAGGGGAGGAAGGAAAAAGTAGGGAACTGGTTTAAATGTCTTGACTGCTTTGGAAAAAGGATGTGCAGAAATGTGAAATAACTTTTAACAACACGCTACAGAGATAAAAAGATTGTTCAGAGATAAGAACTTAAAGTTACATGTGATATTTAAGAGTACATCAAGACGGTAGATTTTGTCTTAAAAGTGACCAAAACCCTTTGTAAATGTGTTTTGTATTAGCTGTGAGAGAGCCTGAGCATCAAGCAGGGATGGAGCTTTGCCTTCTACAACAGTGAGGTGTGAGGGGGAGGCTGTATGAGCTGAATCTAATAGACTTATTTTTCTGTTTGCTTGATGCAAGAAGAGCGATCGTGACATTTAAAGTCTTTTTTTATACTGTCCAATAACAAAACACATACAAATACACCAACAGGAATGCAGGCCTTGGAGTTTAGCGCAAATTTCTATGAAGTGGCTTCCTGTAAAAGAATCAAAGCACATGCAAAAATCTGACTAAACCCCACTTGTGCATCTCTCTGCCAAAATACCACAATTACCTGCTCAATGTTTTGGTTAAAAGGAAGTGGTTTTAGTGTGATAAAAGATATAAAACAAAAGGAACTAGACAGAAAATGCATAAATTGACAGCAGTGCTGTCATATGTTCAGCCCTGACATTTACCCAGCTAATCAATGTGCCCCACACTGCTCCAGCTCCCTGATGTTTAAGCCCATCTGATCAGCGCAGACAGAGAACAGCATGCATTCTAATCTGAGAGGCTAATGATGGAACTGGAAGGAAATTAACGTCAGCACCGAACAACCTTGTTTTAAGGTGACTCATGAATAAAATGACTATTTTTGTATTACAGTGGGGACAACAGACCCTACGACTGTGAGAGGAGAATACTGTAACAGTTCTGGAAGGCGCTCCGGTTCGGCTTTGGCACTACTAACTTTTATATGTTCAGGGTCAAACAACACACAATGCAACATGTGTTCAAGGACAAAAAAAAACACAGATTTTATAGCTTTTGTGTGCACTTACTCATCCATTTTGCAATGAGCGGGCTGGCAACTAATGAAGGTCAGCAGGTAAGTGTCCTAGATTCTCCTGACGCCTTTTCCTAAACAGAAGACAGAGAGACAAAACAGCTGGGATCAACAACACAACCTGAAGCACTGGAAAAATAAACTAATTTAGCACAGGTATTGCAGCATGTGCAGAAGTTACCACAAATTAGCTAAAATCCAGCTCCTGTTGGGTTGTGTAAAGCAACCAAAAACACAAATATGTCACAACCATTCTTCTATAATTTGCAATGCTTTTGTCTCAGCTCCAGAAACTTACCACATTTTTTTTTTAAAGGACCTGCTATTATTTTGTGGAAGGCCTCCATGGCTGTGCACTGGAAGTAGTTGCAAGAAGGGAAAAAATGGAAAGACTAACTTCAGATTAATTGCACCATCTAGTGACTGACTGGGGGCGAAATCACCTACAGTACCTTCATATTTTTTGCAGATGGATCTATAAATACATGTACAGACAAAAAATACCAAAGTAACTCTGTGATCTCACCGTTTGCTGCTCTTTTATCTGGAAATTTAGACACGTGTGCCATCAACAATCCGCGCGTAAAATTAAAATCAGATAACAGCCACGAGAAAAACACTTCTAGGTTGAAAAGATCTGACAAAGTAAACGTTGATAATGTCTTTACATAATATTCGAGAAGCCAAACCGTGTCTTTTGTTGAATGTTTTTGAGAAAGAAAGGATCTCATGCCTGTGTATCTGAAAATTAACAGATGAGTACTCCGCACACGCTGCGCGTAAAAGCAAACTCTGATAATAACCAGGACGAAAACAGCATCGGGTCGAAAAGATCGATCACATTAAACGTTTATAATTCCTTTACTTAGCATTTAGGTGGCAAACCAGTGTTATTGTATGTTTTGACAAAGACTGGCTGTGTGCGTAAAAGCGTACGACGGAGAAGACAAAATCATTTCGCACGAACGGAGTAGACGCAATGGAGTTGACGAAAATAGCGTGCGCCATACACGGACATGACCAGATGTCCAATACACCATAAACAAGGACCTCGTGGCGCAACGGTAGCGCGTCTGACTCCAGATCAGAAGGTTGCGTGTTCAAATCACGTCGGGGTCAATTCTTTCATCTATTGACTAATTGAAATAGAAGCGAACATGAGCACTGTGGTGATGATACGGAAATAATTCATGAAGTTTAGGCGTTCAAATAAATACATCCCCCAGTTAAACATCACACAATTTGTAATGATCCACAAATTCTATTGATGTCAGTCATTAAAGGTTTTATATAATAAAGGTTTCAATGAAGCATCAATACCTGGATGTAAGTTCACATCAATACTGAAATGTATTTTAAAGTGATGCATCTCATGTTTGTGATGTCTCCCAAAAAGGATGAAGAACCACTTTGAAAGAAACTGGATATGAGACCGGAAAGGTCAAAAGTTCAGCATCCCTATTTTCCTTACAGAGGTGCATGCTTAAAATTAAATTCTGGTAACACGGCGCATCACAAGTGTATTCTTCGCGGTTTTGCTCTCCAACCTCAAATCTAATTACAGCACTTGTAAACAGTCTAATTCCCATAGCTGCTATGGCGGATTAAGTTTACAGCACAAACAACTATCACAGCAGCTGCACAGTATGAGCTTTTGTGACACTACTAAAGAGCAGGGAATTGAAACTCAGTGTTTTTTAAAAAACAATAAGCATGCATAGAACTACATTTTTGCCAACTCTTACTAAAAGTAATCGTTCTACTTGTCATGCATACATTTTCAGTAGTTATCTACCTTTTCACTCCAGCTGCAAATCCCCACATTAAAAATGAAAAATAAATTAAATAAAAATTTCCAGGATGGTCACTTTACAGGCTTTTCTGTTGAGTTTAAGTCTCCTTAGGTCTCCTGTACGTTCACATTTAGTGTTTCCTGTGTATCATCGAGACAATAGCGCCGTCCCTCCTCTCACATTGCTCCTCTCTGTCTAAATGCAGCACAATGCAACTTGCAAGTCTCCCTGCCTCTCTCACTTGGTCCGAGTTTCCCTCCACCCCACCTCCTTTCTCTCCTCAGCTCAAGCCCGTTTCTCATCTTTCACTGGGACACGCTAAACCTCCGAAGTTGATTAGTACAGCCCTGGTGAGAGTGCAAGCTGGCGGAGACAACAGGTCACCTCTAGTCCCAAGGAGTTGACTCACATGAGAAGGTCCTCAGCTGCACTCCACATTCTATCACAAAGGCCCGATTGTACTCTGGAGCTCTCGTTTTACATCAAACAGGTCAGTCGCTGCTGACGTAGCGCTATGTTCCTGATATCTCTGCTCGAGCACAAGGCCGTGCATTGAGCTTTTGTTTGGCTGCCTCCGACCATAAAGATCATCACCATGCTTATAGCTCAGAGACAATATTTTTACTGAGTCGTCCAAATTTATATTAAAAAAAAACTGCAAATATCTTTCCAAAAACTCCCTCTTTCACTCTATTCATTTGCCCCTTCATTTGAAATGCCAGGCAACAGCAAATGTCCCTATTGAGCATTCGCCAGTGGGAGGGATGGATGTGGGAGGACAACAGAACAGCCAGAAAGGAGCCTGTATTAAGCAGTTTGTTCAAGAGAGTATTATTACACTGTGAGAGCTCAAATGAAATGGCTGTAAACAAACCCTGTTGCCCAAGTAACACGGCTGAATGTCTCTTTCTTCTCTTTTTATCCCCAAATCACAGCTACCGCTGAGCAGAGACACCAGGGTGGTGTGGGTTCATCCCCAGCAATGTGTCCTTATCACAGGACATCTCGTCACCTCTGATGACGGCATCGGGCAGAAGTTTAAAATTTAAACGGACACACCCAAGGTCGCGATTTTAGATGTGCCTCCTTTTGTATGAGGGGTTGTCCTAAAGGTGCTAAAAGCCTTAAAGGTTAAAGCCTGACTCCTGTGCTCTGTACAACAGTCTAGTCGAACTGACCGAGACAAGAAATAATAGATGAAGTGAAAGGCAAGTACTGGAAACTGAGCAGGCGTCACTAAGGAGACGTTAGCTCCAGTCAAAACAAAACATTTGAAACTGAGGAGTAAAGAAGACTAAGCAAAATAAATATTACAATAAACCTTTTCATAAAAATAATAGAATGTCACTCTTTATTGCGCACAAAAAGACAAAAAGGAAAGAAAGCGATTTTTGAACGTGGCCTGACTCTCAAAAATCAAAACCTTCACAGTTCAAAGCAAGTCCACATTTGCCTTGTTTCCACTGAAGAGTAAAAGCATAACAGTAAAAAAATATTAACAATCTAAAACACAAACAATATAACAAAGCTTAGTCTCTTTCTCTGAATAAAATTATTAATTAGATCCTTTAAAATTTTTGCTCTTCCAAATCACCGGGTTTACTTTTGCCTCCAATGCGCCTGAAGAACGATATAAATCCAGACGTGCTCGCTTGTCCCTCAATATGATTCCCAGCTTTACTGCTGAGCCCTGAACAGACTCCAGTTCCTTCTTCTGTCACACTTTCTGTCCTTGAACCAGAGGACTGCGACCTCTGAGATGCGCTTCTCGGGAACAAGTCTCCGAGTCGGAATCCAGATGCAGGAGACTGTCTGGTTTCATCCACCGAAGCGGATCTCAAAATTGGACCCTGCGACAAAGTTCTCTGACGTACGCACTCAGGAAGAGACGTGGAACCGGCAGATGTTACACTGTTCTGATTGGAGGAGTTGGGTCGATGACATCCCTCATCGGTCTCCCAGACTCCGTCACCGTGGTCGTCTCCACCGTACGTTGACGACAGTCTGCGTTGGTGGCTTTTTCGCTGGGTCTGGGGTTTGTTTTTTCGGGGGCAAGGGAACGGACTCAGGATAGTCCACGGCGAACCCACATCCCCGTTATCGGCAAAGAAGAAGTCTCTGGTTCGAGGCCGAGGGGTGCACGGGACGGCAGGTTTGTCTTGTTCTCTCTCCGAACGTCGAGGAGTGCCTGAAGCTCTGTCCCCATCGAGGCTGCTTTGGTAGCGAAGCACCTTCCGACTTATCTCACGCGTCTTCTCAGCTTCTTTATTGTTTTCTACTCGTGTCATTTCCTTGTCCTCTTTTTGTAGTTTGGCTTGTTTCTTCCCCGGACTCTCCCGGCTGCTGGGGGAAGTTCCTTCTGCTTTTTTAAATAATGGAGCAGCCTGAGAAGTGCGCTCGGAGGGAGACCCTTCGATTGGGGGCAGCGTGTTCTTCCTGCTTCTGGCTAGACCCTCTGTGGAAAGGAAACTGTGCAGGGCCGACTCCAAACACGAGGAGTCACTTTTGGGTTCGGATCCTGCGCTAGACAACGTGGAGCGGCGTTTTCCTGCAACACGGACGCTTTCCTTCCTATGGCGCCTCTGCTCTGCTGCCTCTCGCTCACGGTTCTCCTGCAGTTGTACAAAAAAAAAAGGATGTATTCAAGAAAGACGTATTAAAGACTAAAAGGGGCAGGAAGAAGAATTGCAGTTCATTCAAAGTTCTCAACAGTAAACCATCAAATTTTGAGGTCGATCATGCTGATTATTCCTTCAATGCAAAACAGTATCATTTTCACCATGGTGATGTTTCATTCCTATATAATAAACAACACATAACAGACCACATTTGAACATTTCGTACCTGTACAGCTGTTTCAAACCTCTTACAAAATGAGTGAAAGATGGAGCAGCACTCCTCTAGTTTGAAGGTAGCTGGGTCTTCACAGAAATACTCAGCAACAGCATTGCTCAGCGCTGTTAGCTCCAGGAGAGACGACTCCAAGTCTGCAATCTTGGCCTCTGCTCTCTGAGAAAGGAAAACACAATAGCATATATGGAAGAAGGGTTTTAAACTGCATAGGTTTCACAACTGCAATATCGTAAAGTTAAGATCAAATAACAAGCGCAAACCTTACCAAAAGAAATGTCTCCATTTGTTTTAAGAGGCCCGGCTGTCTGCTGCTGTACAATTTCACCTCCTTGATCTTCTTGACTTCCCTCTCAAAGTCGGTGATTACCTCGTCTTTACAAATTCTGTATTTATTCATGGGCATGACAGACAAAAATTATCGTTACAGCATTGTTTCCAAAACCAACCAGATTGTGGATCAGATTTTGTTTTAAAAGACTGTTAGTGTACAAATGATAGCCACCTTGATGCCATCCCAATGTGATCAAGCTGGCTGGGAAAAGTGAGCAACTCCGTGTCAATGTCCTCTACTTGCTGTGGGTGGGAGATAAAGGAGAATCAGCAATAGATATAATAATAATCAGAATATAATAATTCCTGCTTTACTAAGTTAAATCAAGGCTACTGAGCTGACCACTGGAGAGGTCCGGCCTTTTGGATGAAACATTTTCAATAAGCCCAGGAGTCTTGATTTAACTTTGTTGAAATAATCTTTTGGGGACAGAGCATTTTGTGATTACACAAATATTTCCTTCAGTAAGCATCCGTCCTCACCTTGGCTACATAATGCACGAGGTTCATGCCAGGCTTGTTGGCCTTCGTGTCTGCCAGCTTGAGCAGAGAGGTCATCCTGAAGCCAATGGCATTGGCACTGTGGCCGCCCTGAGGAATAAATGATTTAAATCGTTCATTCATCACTATAATCAGTGCTGAATAAAAAGACTCTGAAAGCACAGTTTAAATGCATCAAATATAACACTATAGAATAGGCTATGATTTTAAAAGAAAAATACCAACAGCGTTCATGTAATTCCCGGCTTTCAATACGAGCCGAATGACTGAGTGGAGGTCATCACAGTCCAATAGCTCTACGAGGAGAGAAGAGAAGAGAGATGGAGGCAAAGAACCTTAATGTAAACATCAAATCAGAACTGGGTGGATTAAAACAGATGATTGTTGGCAGCTGGATGGATGTTACCATTCGCTGCTTTGGTCATGACAGCAACCGAGTTCTTCACGTCCTCCATGAGAGGAAAGAATTCCTCCCTCAGCACCATCGTTTTGAGGCGTTCCTCATAGCTAAAGACAAGACACACGAACAAACAGCTGCTAAGTGCTGCATCAGTTGTTGTAATATTACTAGTTCAGATATAAAGCCAGAAATCGTCAGGTAAGGCTATTTACAGTGAACAATGAATCACCAACTAAAACAGTTTTGTATGCAAAGTCTGTGGTTCAGAAGTGGTAGCGTCATTAAAAATATATAATTATAATAAAAATAACATAAATAGGTAAATATCATGACTTGTGCAAAACAACAAATACATGCAAAAACTATCCGTTTACTATTAGTTTTTTCACTTTTTTAAAAAAATGTTGCACATAATGCTCCATGATCACAAACAAACAAGTTAATATGTGTAAAAAATTTACACAATTGCAGCCATGTTAGCTGATTTGAGATTGCAAAGAACATTGCTTTAACTAACAGGTTTAAATTACAATAAATATGTCATTTAAAAACATTTTTAAAAAATGTCCGCCTCACCCTGGCACTTTGACCAGCTGCACCATGAACTGGTCGGCCTCGGGTAACACAGACAGGTTCCCACTGAATGATAGCAGATGCTTCACCTGCACAAGTAATTCACCAAATTACATCCATGTCATCATTTCTTCTTGTAGATGTTACAAGATTTATTAGGAGAAAATGTGACACTGGTATGCTAAAGTAAGGTCATGCATCTTCCTAAGAATGGGCTGTATCAAAATTATAGCAAAAAACTAACTAGGGCAAATGATAAACTTCCATAAATCTGTCACTATTTTTCCCCTTTAAAGCAAGAAAAATAAAATATCCAAACACAACTTAGGAGGTCTTCTAATTCTTCTTCCATAACACCTACTATGATCATAAGGATTATTTTACACATAAAGGATGAAAGCTGAACAAAGGCGAGCGCAGAGCGGAGCTGTTGTTACCTCACTTTCCTCTGGCAGCAGTTTACAAAGCTCTTTTAATTTGCCAGCTTCAAATCTGTGCCAGTTCCCTTGACGAATGTTCTCAACCATTTCTTTCACAGGCCTGCAGAGGGAGACAAAAACCGACAGTAAATAAAGATGCTTATGTTGCCTTAAGTTCTGCTATAATTAGCACAACTTATTAAACATTATTAGTCTTGTTAAATCATCGCGGTTGTTTTGCTTCCTTCAAAGCTCCCACTGGCTTCTATTCACTTCAAAACAATGTTAATAACAAACTGCAAAGACTTAAGACGTGCTTGAGGCAATGTTGTACATGGTATGATTGATCATATATACATTTCTGTTTTCTGTTGTTGTTGTTGCATGGCATTGCTGGTGTAAATTTCTGGCTGATTTGAAAAGGCTCCCAAGTTCTTGCATTAATTTGTTTGCAGTTCCACTAAAGACTACTAAATATCATGACAGTCACAAAGTCTCGCCCTGAAAATGATGAAACACGGATGTCTTAACGATAACAAAGTGAACTTAACAGCTTCTTATAGTCAAAAGGTTGCATATTGACAAGCAAATTTAAGATTTTTAATTTTAGAGCTTCTGGAAAGAACCTCTGCTGCAAAGGATGGCGCATGAACAGTTAGAGATTCTGTTTTAATATGCTAATTTATGCAGAAAGGTGCTTCAAAATTACTGTGGTTTTCTATTCCGTGGAGAGGAGAAGAAGCTATGGTCTAAAACAAATTTCTAATTTGCACTACTTGTGTTTACTGTTCGCCTATAGATGTGGTGAGACTTTAGTAAATGCTGACGATATCACTCAACAGTTCTAACACCGGTGTCTGTGTAACATTCAGCAAAAGGATAAAATGCAATCAAATAGCATTATCAAACCACTACCACACAGATGCCGGCGCCATTTAATTTGATTGAAATGCTTAAAGAGACATCGTTTAAAGGCTTAGCTGTTGACAGGCATTGGAAGTGCATTTGGTATTCAAAGTGAGAGCTGACTGAACCTTGGACTGAAAGTGACACCATCCTGATAAGGTACAGACACAGAAACTGGCTCATATGCTAAAGAGGCAATTTGAAGAGAGGAGCAAGTTCAATTTTTCCGCTGAACTCAGAACTAGGTCTTAAAAAAGGAAAATATGTGTTAATAAATAGTGTTAATTTCGTCTTTTTCTCTCTTCTTAAGACTGTATAGTGACTGCTTCAATGTATTTATTATGGATACTGGAGGGGAAGACTGGGGACACTGGGAAGGAAAAACAATAATAACACAAAGTGCAAGCTACAGCCGAGTTGGATCACAAGTCACAACACCTCACTGTATTTTCCACAGTCAAAAATCTGTAGCAACCACTATTAGTAACTAGATATTTAATCCTCCAACATCCAACCATAATACAAAACTGAAAGGGAAAAGGTGACAAAAACCCCTCACACATCACCTCCCCGAAGGTTCTCACCAGCCTGAAGTGGAAAACTGTATTTTAAAAGGGAAACAAGTGACCCAGCTCCACGGAAATCAAACTGCATGAGCAGGTTCTAAAGGTGAACTCTTCTACTAGAGCGGTAATCCTACAAACCTGCCGAGTGTATCCTTCATCTCCATCATCTCTGCTCAGCCTCACCTACTAGGTCAGCAGTTTGTTTTCCTACCATTTAGGGATTATTAAAGTGGGTCACACACACACTAAAACGAGTGTGTTGCTCTCAAACCGCTCTCGAGCGGTGTTTTAAAAGGCATTTTCATTTATTTGCATATGGTCGCCTGAGATAAAGAGTCTGCTGGTTGGGAAATAATCGTCACAGTGGAAGTAACTTGTGCATCAAGATCCGTATTTTTCACTCTGACATGAAAGCTGCTCTAAAAGGAGTTAATTCACTTCTTGTTGTGTGTTCCTTTCTTCATATGTTGCACTGCAGTGTTCTTTCACTGCATCCTACTCATTTTCAGCACAATCAGTCTTTCTCATACTTTAGCATTTTACTTCATTACCTCTTGAAGTGTCTGAGGAGGATTCCAATATTCATACTTCTTTTGGAGTCAAGAATTGTGACCTAAAGACAAAAGAAACAAAGATCACCAACATACAAAGGTGGTTTCAAATCTTTACAGTCCAAACTCAACACTACATGTCACAATATTTTGTGAGGAAGCTTTAACACTCCTGACACAGTAGTGTTTTAGCAGTTCCTCATTGATGGCATGATTACTGTGGAACTTTAACAAATCAGTTCCTATTTATGTGCTCAGTACTTCCCTTGTTTGTGCATTCTGTGTTTACATGCCAACACCAGAAACTGGAAATCAACTTTTGCTACGGCTAACAAAAGCCAATTTACCTGAGGCTCCTGCGGAAAATTGTCCATGCCATCACACTTCTTAGGAGCGACCTTTGAATTGCGTAGCGAAGCCCGTTTGTCTACATGACTGAACAGCTCCTCCATGCTCCGGATGTCCAGCACCAGGTCCCTCTGAGGCCGACTGGACGTCCACACGTTCAATTTGCCCAGGACACGCTGGCTGGGGATGGTGTCCCAGTTCAGCTTTTTCATGGAACGCCTCTGAACATTACGGCCGCTAAAGGGAGACTGAGGAACAAGAGGAGGAGGAGGAGGTGGTGGTGGAGGAGGAGGTGGAGGTGGTGGTGGAGGAGGAGGTACACCTAGGACATGCATGGCAGGAGGTACAGATGATGCTTGGAGATCTGAATCTTCCTGAGCATTCGGCAGCGATGGAGGAGAAGAGTCTAGAGGGGAACAGTTGGGAGGGGAAGCCGATTTTAAAATCAGCACTCCCTCCATCTGTATCTCTCAGATTTAAAGAGGATGGAAGTGCTGCTGGCCACTGAGATCTGAGGAGACAGAAATATCAATCCACAGTGTTAGTTAAGAACATAAAACAATGTCTGCATGGACCGTTTCATGTGGGATTTGTTTCAAAAGTAAAGCTTCAGTATATGTTACTGGGAGGCCATGCAGGTGATTTAGTTTCTAAATATCTAAATAAATCAACATCAGACTCAAGAAGCAAAATGTCATTAAAACCATATTTCTGCAGTTGCTGGTTTATTTTTTTTTTTTAGCTATATATTTATTTTTAATTTATACACCCAAAGGCAGATACTGCTGTGTGTCAACATGGTGCCATCAGTTCCTCACTCAGACATTTTCCCTATTGTTTTATCTTCTACTTCTCTTCCTTAAACTACATGATACCATAATTTTGGTTCCATAAATAGAATGTGCCCTCTTAATTTCCCTCCATTAGATTAGGCCTAAACCAAACATCATTGAGAAAATTCACTTATTTAAGGCTTCCTTCTCAGCAGCAAAGATAAATGTGATTACATCAGCTGAATTATGTCTTATTTCACTCATTACAACCCGGTGATGTATTCGGCATAGATACCATCCACCAAACACTGTCGTCATTGTGTAAACTTTACCCTCACATCTGTTTTAACACGGCTTGCCAGCACTATGCGTTGCGAATTTTCGAAGAAGGGAGCTATACAGACTAAACAGTCAGTCAACTGGAATTGAATAAAGTTACACTGAATTATGGCACATTTGGTGGTAGCCGGATATCAAAATAGATAAAAGTGACTCAGAAAACACACTCGGTGTATCAAACATATATCTGTTCTGCTTCCGATAACGACGACATCATTAATTTCACACTTTTTAAACGGATATTCGCTGTCACTTCTTTGAAGGTCTCACACCCTCACACATTGAACCTAAACTGAGAAATCATCCAGTTAACACAACGAAACGCACACTGGCGTTTTAACAGGCTGTAAACTTCGCAACAACGACCATTTCTCATTGATTTTACTCACCGTGCTTTCAAAACTGAAGCTGTAAAAAAAAAAAGCCCTCACCCAGCTCCGGCCTCGTGTTCCTGCATTTGAACAGAGTCAGTGTGACTCTCGAACAGCAGGCGCAGGTGCAGCGTGCATCCACCAATCACATTCAAGTTAGCTTGCAGGTGAGGACACGCCCCTTTTTGGGAAGGGAAAAAAAGGGGGTCAAAAAGATCAATAAGGGCCAAATCTTCTAAAATAAACAAAAAAATAAACAATAAATAGGCCAAATTGCTGTCTAATTACATAAAAAAGTGTTTACATAAATTTAAAATATCAGTAAAGAGGGCATAACTGATTTCCAGGTATTTATAGCTGCATTAAAAAAAATCTATAACTTTTTATATAAACTGCAAACTGCTGGTCTTCTGGTGCCAGGAGAAAGCTAATTCAGAAATGTATGCGCAAGAGTGTTTTTGTTCTTGCTGTAATCAAACTGAGGAATTTAATTACACGAGAGAAATTTGAGAAATGATGGTGGATTAATATTATTTCTTGGTAGCCTGTGTTTGATTTTAATTACACAGTTTTACTTGACTGAATCCAGATGGTTGCCTCTCCGTCTGCACGCAACAGAAAGCACGGCAGGCCGCAGCGCAATACAAATGAGGTGGAATCGCAAACAGAACAAAACACAGCCAGAGCATTTGAAAATGTGTACTTTTAATTTTGTTCCCTCGGGATTGGGTGGGACTTTTTCAGGTCTGAGTGAGGAATGAAGGCAGAGTATCACATCAATCCATGACACAACTTCATTTATCGTCATAAATACCTCATGTGCAATCATTCATACAGTACAATACACCAGCTCAGCCTAGAAAACAGTGATTGTACACAAATAAAATATCTCATTTTATAAATCTTGGTTCTCTCTTGGCAACAATCTAAAGACTGGAATTCTTGTTGCTCCTTTTTTTTCCAGCTTACTGAAGGTTTCACGACTATAGAACAAAAGTTTAAAAATCCTATTGCCATTCATTTTGGTGTTAGGGTTGGGAAATTCAAAAGGGCAGGTTTGGAAAAGAGGAGTCACATTTTGTTAATATTGCTTTGTGGTGGTCAAACAGACCAGAAGCTGGCCTGTGAAATTGCAATTTTAGCCACATTTGAGGCCAAGGTCTTATTAAATGACTTTTTCAGGCCAAACTAAATACAACTATTTAACACACTGAGAGATACAGTTCAGAAAACACAAGTCACACGAGTTTTAGAATCAATTTTCATATTTGCTTTTCGTTAAAAATCAAATCTATTTCTTTTCACAGCTGTCCTTCAGACTGCAGCATTAAAATTAAACCCAAATCTTGGATTCTACTTCAGCCAGTTTCAAAATTTAAACCAACAACCATAAGCATGGCATTACGCCAGTCCATGCAAGCCGGCACACAGAAGGCCGAGAGGAGAGCGTCAGTGAAAGCACACGTATCTCCATCTATACTTTGGATCGCTGCCTGCCATGCAAATACAGAGGAGACAAGAAGCCGGAGGACTAAACCATTAACTGATGGAGAATTCATAGAGTGCTCCCTTCTGTTACTAGAGGCTCTCATGAGTTAAATGCAGCATGGTTAAACATTCGCTATACGGGGTTTTCTTCATCTGACTTCAGAGGTTGAACACTAGGAAATTAAACAACGTTCTATGAAGAATGCTTTTGGAGTTCATCAATAACAGATTTGGTTGGCCTGAGGCATATTTTCATCTTTGTATGTTGTCATTTGCACATTGTCGGAACCATGATTTGAATAGTTTTCAGTGTAGAATATGTTGATTTCAACAGATTAACTCACATTGAGCATAATAAATAGAGTGATGCAAAAAAAATAAACATTAAGTATGTACTGCCATGTCAATGTTTTGGGGTGATACGGTCTTTTAATTGTCAACAGTGGATGATTGTTTACTACTTAAACTAAGTTTCAGATAAATCATTAGTGTTATCATACTCCCCAACTACTAAATTACAAGATTTTATGCTGAAATATTAAAATGAGTAATATTAGACAGCTACAGTAATCTTCAGTGTGAAGAAAGGTAACCATAGACGAATATCTTCTGCTTGAGGACGACTGATATGACTCAAGGACGTGTCCTTGTTAATTTTAAGAAGACAAATTAAACTTAAGACAGAAACACATTTCAATAGATCATGTAAACAAAGAATTCCTTTCCAATACAGACTGGTAACAGCTAAAAATGAATTCTGTCATATTTGCCGGATCTTAACTGACTTACACAGAGACTTTACAAAGGTATACAACACAGTGAGGTGTTAAGGTGGAGGCTGTGATTCTGGATATTTAGGTCGTTTTTTTTTTTTATAGCATTTTTAGATAGTTAACATGTGCCAGGGTTTACTGCGGTTAACGCTCCCACTGCCCCTGGGTGTTTTTCAGAAGACACAGAGCAAACCACAGGAACATATTTAATGCATCTGACAAACACCGTACTAGGTTAGAATCACGCACTCCACCTATAACCAACCAATCGGCTGAAACAACCCATGTAAACACACAAGGGTCATCCGATAAGCATCAGTCCTCTGTTAGTTCTCTTTGGGTAAATAAAATACAATTAGTAAAGACCCGAACCAGTGTAACTTTGGGAAGCCGTGGCAGTGTTCCTTAAATGATTGTTGCATATATGAGTTGAAGACAAAGAATTTTCCGGTTACAAGAAAAACCTGCGACATTTTTGATAATTACAGACCAAGCACTGTGGTGCTTTGGTCCAAAACACCAGCACATAATGCCTAAACAGTAAACTGTCCTTCACTCTGAAACACAAGATTTACAGTACAGCTGACTAGAAGCAGAACAATAAGAAAATAAAGAGATGAGATGTTAAATAATCAAAAGCTAAACACAACATTGTGTTTTTATAAGCTACAAACAATCATATAATATTTATTTCAAAAGTGAAACAGTACTTAATTTGAAATGTACATTGATTTGAAATGTCTGGACATTCCTTTCCAGTGTACCATAGAAATCCCCTTGATGTGTTGCTGTAGTTCTCTTTCTTCCCGCAGGTCACATATTTATTTAATGCGTTAGCTCAAATATAAGGAGGCACACTAGGATAGTGATAAGGTCTGGAAGTAGTGTTTAGTTACATCTGAGTGTGTTTTAATGGTTTTACCATTTTCCTTTTTCCCATCAGTCCCTGTTACTACATAAGATGGTGTGGGGTTGAAGTATAACTCAGAGCACTGGGAGCACTTGAGGAGTACAATAATAACCATAAACATGGCTAACGCAAGTTCACACAACAAAATAGTGTTGAGACAGAAGTGGGTTAAGTCAAGGGGAGGGGAAAGGGAGAAGGTGGACAGTTTCTCTGGGAACAGAGCACAAAGAGAGGTTAAAGTGGAAAAGGGGAAGCTGGGAAAAGAGGCACTAAAGGCCCCCTGACTGTTCATGAAACTGGCCACTGTGTTTCCTGCTGCATTTAGCCCATTCATCAATAAAACCCTGTAATTCATCGTCCAATGCTTCCTCATCTGTCCAGTCATCCAGCCACACACTCATCTCATATCGTCATCCGCCCATTTTATCGGTATGTGTTTCTTTCTCTAGTGGTCCTCTGTAAGTTGGGGGTTTCAACAGGTAACAGGTGGAGGTGGTTGAAGGAGGATCAGCAGGGCCTCTCATTGCTCCTCTAACCAGGAGGGCTTGTCGGCCCCTGGGGGCCTCAACTTTATGTTGAACTGCTTCAGTGTTTGCTCCAGCTGCTGCTGATTGCCAGCAAAGTACGCCGAGATGGCATTATGGAAGAGGAGGAGCTGCTTATGCATCACCTTCACCTGAGAGACAGACACAGGGGAGTTCAGGAATTAGGTTTATGCCTAGACGGAGACATTTAGAAGCATGATTATGATGCAAATCTCAAACCTTATTCTCCTCCAGAAACTTCAGTTTAATGGTAACGTCTGAGCGAAGACGTTCATACTTTTCCTTATGGACTTGGTACTGTTGCTGAGCAGCATCAATACGGGCCATGGTTACGGCATCCCTTGGACCCATACTCAGTTCCTCAAGGTCTGCCCGGTAGGCATCAAACTCCAGTCTGAGCACACACAAAAGAAAAGGAGAAGATAGAAAAACTTAAGAAAAAGATGACAATTCAAAGCTCAAGGCAGAATTATGATTTTCAATGTTGTGAAAGGAAGGAACTCTGAGGGAGAAAGATTTGTTGTTGTCATCAAAACCCTACATTTTTTTCTTTAAATTGTTTTGTCTTTCAAAGCAACAAATGGAGTCCATTTACTTGGTCTGTGTGGGGACGATGTCAGCAGTCATTTTTAACTGCGTGAATGCCAGATTGTTGGTTTCAGAAAAACAGAGCAAATGCGCGACTCTGACATCCTAGCCAAAGTCCCAAAGCTGTTGGTGGATGAGGTTTTAGATATAATGCGACATGCAGTTTGGACAGAGCATTAATCCTCCTTAAACACCATCTGTCTGTTTCTTGCAATAAAAATACAACCCTTAGCTACCTGTTTAAGAAGATTAGTTTTTATGAGATATATGAAATAATATCAAATAATTTGGGGGGAAAAAAAGTGATCTTTTTGGCCACTTGGGGGCAGTGGAAACAAGCTGTGAACACGGCACTGGCATCATCGTCGTCATCATCATCATCATCATCATCATCATCATCATCATCATCATATTTGATCTTTATGTGGCTCCTGCTCATTTATACATCCAGCAATTAGGAGGTATAGCATTCATTCAGGAAAAAAAGCGCTTCTGGCCTCTGATAAATGAAGTCTAATACTGTCTCACTTTTAGCTCAGCTTTTGGTCTCCAAAGGTAAATATTCAGCTCTTTACTGTTAAATGTGCCACCGTGTTCACCAGCACTGAAAACAGCTGCCTGATGCAATAAAAAACAAAATTAAGAACAATGAGAGTGAATAAGAATGCTAAAGTTTTTGGCTGTACACCTAAACAATGAGCTAATATTTACTATAAATCTCTTCTACAAAGTTTAAATTCAGGTACAAAGTGTCTGCAAGTTCACTACAATCTGCCATTTGTACTTTGTCATAGTGCTCTCAGATAGTCATCTGATGCATTGCTCAGTCTTTCAGATAAGAATAATTTATGTGCTGACCTTGCATTCTCATACATCTTGATAGTCATCAGGGTGTCCTCCATAGTCTTGTTGACTAATGTGTTGATGCTGGACACGAAGAAGTTAATGGCACCAAGTAAAGTCTCCCCGTTCTTACACAGCAGCTTCTGAGTCTCTGCATTGTAGCCAAACTCATCCTGTAAAGAAGAACAGCTTTTAAATGTCAGAATAAACCCAGCACACATAGACTTTAATGTAGCTCACCAACTAAGCAAGAAACAGTTAAAATAAAGCAACAGAAATGTTTCATGAATAAATTTTAATGTCTCACTCGTAGCTCTGGAGATTTCTGACTGAGGTCAGCAAAGGTGTCGCCCAGCGCATGCTGCGTCTGCACCATGTTGTAGAAGTGGTTGGTCAGCGCTCTGGCCAATCGCAGCACATTCTCATATTTCCTTTTAGTGTCTCTCAGCACCTCAATCTGAGCCTCGAGCTCCAGATCCACAGTCCGGGATCCTCGACCAAAACGCTCGGAGATCATTTGCTTTGTGCACTAAAACAATGAGAGAAGGCCCACAGACATTGTTAATACAGCTCCTCCCTGTAAAAGTATCATTCTTCATATGGATACAGGGAAGGGCTATCATGGTGAGAATAAAAGCAAAGAAAATAATAATGACCAAGTGGTTATTTATCATGAAGCGATTATTTAGCCACAGTTTTACTCATTAGTCAACAGCACGGAACCTGACATACCTTGTAAGTGTTGAGACCCCATTTCCTCACTGTTTCTAGCTTTTCCACGGCTACGCCGCGGGTCGATTCTTCTGCTGTCATAGAAGAGCTGCTGCTGCTGTGGTGCATGTTGGAACCTAGAACATAAGAACCAAATGTAGACATGGTAAACAACCACAAGCAACACTTTAGGAAGAATAGGACTAACCCCAGCTACTATTAGACCAACCACAAATGTTTATTACAATGTATGTAAAATGTCTGGCTTTGACGTAAGACAAAACTGGTTTCTCATATCTCACCGTTATCCTCTAAGTCATGGCTTAGATATTGATATATGGATATTTGATATTGTGGGCATCTGTCTTTATAGGGGTTGTGATGAAAGATGAAAAAATTGGTATATTTTTACTTGTAAAATGGATAAAATGTGACAAATCTATGCAGAGGCTGTCAACTTCACCCTTGTTTTCCCCCTTCCCAGTACCTTTGTGGTAATGTGATTGACTTGCTATGTGGCAGATGGAAGAACTGCTTGAGGGAGCGCTACTTCGCCTGGCCTTCATACGCAGGTCTGTGACAGTGAATGAGTGGTCGGTAAGGGAGGGTTTGGATGAAGGAATGATTTTGGGGAAGCATGAATAGGGTGCAGGAAAGGGGGTTTACATAGAATGTATTTTGTAAAATTATGGAAACGTTCAGGATGGGGATTTTAAATGATAGTTGGATATTTAAGGTGAATTATTGAAGTTGAATAAGCGTGCCAAAAATGGAATAACGTAGGAGGGAGATGTGGGAAAAAGCAGGGAGATGCAGAAAAGACAGCAAAATAAAACGACAAAAGGAGAAAAGAAAGACAAGAAACAGATATGTAGGAGGGAATTGTGAAAAGAAGGTGGAGGACAAAGATAGGCAAGTACAAAGATGAAAAGAGACCATTTAGTGCATGACAATCAGTGAACAATGCAGACAAATGAGCGAAGATGATGATGAGGACAGTTTGAAATGCAACAGTGCTAAATAGTGTGAGACTATAAAAACACTGCTAAAGCTATTCTAATATCTTACTTTTATCGCCAAAGTCTTTATACAAACACACATTGTGATAAACCAGAAATCTGTTTAGTGAGCAGCTTCATGAAAAACGCAAAAAGTGTAGACCCATTAAAGGATTAGATCCCACATGGAAGCAACCAGAAAGCAGTGGAACTTTGTAAAGGGAACACAGTGACTGGGAAAAAAACCCACAATATATCCAAGAAAGATAGCAGCAGGCAGAATTAAGTGTACTGCCCACAGTACTCTCCGCTGAAAAAGAGAAAATGTGATGAAAAGGAAGAGAAGCAGATTCCCAGCCATCTAAAAAAAACCGACACACTCTGTATAGAGAGCATCTTTCCGAAATGAGATATGCTTAATGTGAGAATGGCCAAAAACAAAGTAAATCCCAATCACATTATGTTTATTGCAGTTAACAAAAAAAAACATCTACATCTCCTTTCCCCACCAAAAAAAAGAGATCCTATCACATTTGGGAAATAAGCTCTCCATTATTATTAACAATTAGGTCTAAGCCACCTAATCCTGTAACTGGAATCCTTTTGTTAAACTCTGCATTGTAGTGCACAGCAGGGCCTGAGAGAGACAGAGTGGGACAAATACACAGAAACATTAGTATCAAATAAAGAGAGTATTGTTATTCCCTTCTGAAACTGTGACTCAGTGGCACATATAATATGTAAAAACTCCTGGATACAGTGTAGTAGATCTATTTATCATTCATTATGAAACTGCAACATTTTCTGCCAATGTGGCAACATTATGATGAACTCTTAGTACCATTGTTTGACAGAAGAGGCCTGTAATACTTGACATGATATGTCTTCAGACCAATGATTGACATTGACAAACAATTATGTGTTTGACAGTGAAAATGTCTCTCAGTAGTGCTAGTACATCTCAAAATTTACAATCATGAGCAGTGCCATTTTTCTGAAGCATACCCTTGTGTTTACACCAGTGTTGATGGATGGAAAGAACAGTTTTAGTAACATATCTGTGTTTCAGGGAATCATCCAACACCAAACACAGGAGAGCAGTTTAGAATTAGGGATGCAATCATAAAGGCAATTTACAAAGAATTTGACCTCTGCAGACCAGGAAAAGTTGAGCCAGGATTCAGTTGTTTGCTGCAAAAGCCTGTGTTTTCATGCTGGAGCTCTCTGTGTCATCCAATGAAATAAATGAGGCGACTGCATGTATTCACATCAAGCTGTTGTCGTAGCCATATTCATTGGTAGATGACTGACTAATCATAGACTAGATGGAGTGACAGTGATTTCACACATTGGTTTGTGGACTACCGTTTGTAAGCCTGGAGTTTGACATTTGGCCATCAGTGAGGGGTGAATCTGACCGAAAACTCGAGAACACGACCCGCGGTGTTAACAAGATGTAAAAGGTAAAGAGGTTAAAAAAATGAAGTAAGAAAATGGATGGTTTTCTCATAAACATCTACACTGTAGACATGTATTGTAGTTTGTCTTTCGTCCCATGTCTGCATAAAGAACAGAAAATCTCACAAATATGGAGTGAGTGAGTGAGTGAGTGAGTGAGAAAGAAAAACAGTGAAGCAGGACGGTACCTTTGATTGAACTTGTGGGGATAATACCCTCCGCTGTTCCTCCATAGCCCCCAGACACAATGCTAGTCTCATTGAGATTGGGACCCGATACCATCACCTGCTGTAGGTCCTGCAAAGTGGGCAAATAATATAAAAAAAGAACAAAAACAACAAAGGCAGGGATAGAGGGTTTTGGTGGGTTGGGGTGGGGATATGTAGACAGGAGATTATGACTTCAGTGTTAAATTCAGACAGTGGACAATGTAGGTTAAAAGCCTATTAACTAGAGTGCGACAAACACCACTATGTTAGCAAGGTTAGGAAGTTAACAGGGAGAACTGAAGTGTGTGAATGACAGAAAACATACGACTAAAAGTGCCTGTTAATAATTAACCCAACTGAGCCATGTCTCCTGCCAAGATGCTGTTGAAAGTACACAAGAGGACGTCGATACGCAGCTGTGACAGACTTCCAGTCTAACCCAGGCAGTGACTTCAATGATCTATGCAGCAGAAAACGCCCACATAAACCGTTTCTCCATCCAAAATAATCATCATCACAGGCTTCGTTGAAGCTTTGGGTCATGAGGGGAACTGTGTGACAAGCCACGCAATCCCTCTTGTTTGTTTTCCTTAATTTAACTCATTGTTTTCTTTTGTTTTCCTTCCTGTTCAAGTGTCAGCTAGTGAAGAAAAACAAGAAGGATTATGAGAAAGAAAAATCTGGCTTAAACAGATTTCTTTCTTTCACAAACAATATAAAATTTTTCTACCTACAACAAACAAGTTTACATTTTACATATGCCTTTGGGCAAGCCTCTCAGTTCAGTTGCTACAAACACTACAACAGTGACTTAACTATGAGTTACACCGGTGAGGAAATGTAACGGAGGAATACACTTTCTGAAATCTCAAACTGAGACTATACTGTGCGCATGATTATAAATCTACAAAAGAAGAATGCATTGAGACGGAAGTCGCCATTTCCTTTCTGTAAACAAACACAAACAGCATGTTTGGTACGATCAAAAGGAAGTAAAAATACAACTGCTGTGGTTTGTGCTGTCAGAGGTCAAACGTATCAAGCCTCGGCTCCGGGGCATCGCCTAGCTGTCGATACAAACCTTAATGTTACAGTGGAGTCACTCTGACTTTCTTGCCAGAACACAACCGCACTCCCTTTTTGTTAACTAAAACATCAACTGACACATCAAAACACAAGTGAAGCAAATTCACATCAGCAGCACAGCATTAGCATGAAATGATGATAATTAGTATGTCATCCATTTGTCAACCAACACCCGCTAAAAGATTAAGGAATCACACCCACCCATCACCAAAGTGCACACACACACAAACACACAGAATCTAGGCTACTTTAGTTGACTCAAATAAGCACACACTAGTTGAATCTAATAATGAAATGGAATTGTTAGGTTCTAAGTGTGAGTTTTAAGCTATTTGTACTCAATTCCAACTCAATTTGAGGGATATCTCTCAAAACATGTCATGTTTGAGAGACTTCTAGCTACAGTTAGTGGGAGTAAGGTTAACAGGCTGCACAATTTAAGCTGCACAGTGGTTTGCCATAACAATGAAATATCTGACATTTTGTGAGACAAACCAACGTAGCGATGCGAGGCAATTTAATGCCCCTTAAAGTCAAACCACTGAGCAGCACTGCACACCAACAACAACACACACGCAAATGCACAAATGGCCTGCTCACCCTGGTGCCTCTGGAGCTCCCTACCTTCTCATCTAAGCTCCACTGCAGTTTTGCAGCCTGCACAGAGATGGAGGAGGGNAGGAGGAGGATTGACAAACACAACAAGAACAACAACAGAAAAAGAAACAAACAGAAAAGGAAAGGAGACAAAAAGAAAAATCCATGACTGAAATCATGAAACACAATAGAACGACGTAAAAGAAATGCCAGAAAAATCATCGTATGTGTCCACAGACAGCAGTGATGCAGGATGGAGAGCGGTGATGACTGATATCACAGCAGGTCAGGGTTTGTCATTTGGCTGGGAAATGTTAAAAGCTCAAGTGGATCATCTAGTCCACTGGGTGAAAATCTTTTTTTTTTGCTTTCCATCTCCCATATGTTGCCACAGATTTGCCATGTTATTATTGGCTGTCACTGTCTGGATAAAGAAAATACAGATTTTAAAACAACACTAAAAAAAAAAAAAAAAGTGATATTTATTTACAAGACATCTAAAGACAGAAAAAGTGACATCAACATTAAGGGAAAACAAATCAAGAGGGAACTGTGTACACACACAAACATGCACAAATATCCAATAATGAGAGCCCAAACTCCAGGTAGCACATCTTGACTGCCAGAGAAGAACATTTGCTTTTTTAGCAATTAATATGGGGTCAGGTTGAGAGCAACAAATGGAATTAACATAGCAAAAGTGCCAATTTCTGTAGTCAACATGACCATATTCAACATTCTTTCTTGCAAAGATGGATATTTTAACCGACCAGACACTAAACCAACAGCCGAAAAACATTTTGAATAAAAAGGCCAAATCTGTTTTGACTACATTTCCTCCTTCATCTAGTCAGTGTATCTCTTGACTTTAGAGATCTGCCTCGTGTTGTGGCATCTGTTCAATGTGGGAGAAAGCTGACGCAGATACTGAACCCTCCCTGGACACTTTGTATACACAGTGTCTGTTCCCCGAGATGAAGGATACTACAGCAAGTCATGCTATGGGACAATAGATACACGATGGAGGACAGAGGCTCTGCTGTAAAATGCCACAAACCGTCTGGGATATACAGTGCATTTTATATTTATCTATTAGCACAAATAATCACCCCTGAGAAATTGTGTATAAACAGTATCAGCATCTTCTAATGCTGTTGTCTGAGTAGAGACACCACTGAGCCACTGCGATGCATCTGATGCTTTTGCCAGGATGCTGTTGGCAGTCAATCCTGTCTCTGTCACTGTCAAGCTGCCAGTCACCATCCCTGTTCTGACACAAGCCCAATGCTACGAGATCTGAAACCAGACTTCTGCTTTCCCTTAACCTGCCAATCTTCATCTCTACGTGCACGAGCAACACTGACTGCGACAGCTTTAAATCAAGTGTCGCACATCAGATATCAATCGGATTTCAGAGGGCTTTCACCCAAGGACAAAGCGCCGCCAGTTTCAGATTAATTGCACAGTTGCTATGACAACTGGTTAATATCCAGAACTAAACATTGCAGCTGAACACTTCTCATACATAAACACATTAAACTGATGTAGCCACGCCAAATTGTCGATCCACTGAGCAGGCTTTGCTGAGAAGGAAGGATCGTCTTTAACTAGTTGATCCACACGCACATAGTTTGGTGAGCAAATAACACAATTAACTGCTAGTGCTTCCTCCAGGATCTTCAGTCTGTTTGTACAACAAGGTGTGCCCTAAGATGCAGGAAAATGGAACAACCTGTTCCAAATTACACCTGAATCTCCTCTGCCATTTTATTCTAACTGAATCAAACACACCAAAAATGAGTGGAATAAAATTATAGTGCTTATTCATGTTGTAGTTGCCCCCACATGGAGAGCAATATCTGTGAATCTAGCATTTCAGTTTGATATCTAGTGGTCAGGCTAATCCAATGCACCACTGTCTAACAGTCTATCTACAAAGGTTGATGCTTGTTAGTGGAGCTGCTAGTGGGAACAACTGGTTCCTGAAAAGACAGATGGACACCAACACCTGATTTCCCAGTAGAGTTGCTACCTGCAGTTGTAGCTAAGCAAGCTAAGAAACAAAAGGATCGTATCACAAACAAAATATAATGCAATAATACAGCAGCAAAGACTATTTAACTTCCCACAGTAAGATCTGAACACTGCTTTACTACATATACAGAAACTGATGTGCTCCATTTACATTAGGGATGTTCTGATAAACTTATTTTCGCCTGAACCAAATCACTAAATATTTTGTATCTGTGGATCCAATACCATTTCCTCAATAATACAGGTATTACAGATTAGTTGTAGTACCTGGTTGCATTGTGTCTGTTGAAAATGGCAACTGTCCGAGTTTGTGTTCAATTCATTTTTTGGTTAACAATGCTGCACGTTGTTAGGAAAATTATTTAAAAATTGCATCCCTAGTCTCCTGTCACCTATGTGCTCTCTTTTTATGACAACTGTGTGATAGCACACGTAAAACGATTGGGCTTAGGCTCTTACTAAAATACTTATCAGATGATCATTAACCCATACTGGGCACACAGGTGCCAATGCAAACATGATGCACAAAGGTTGTTTGCTAAGTTGAAGAAAATATTCCTGAGAAGGGACAGCAACAGCGAAAAGTAAGACCAGAGATTTCTTTAACTGCGCAACAGCTGCTATCAGACATAAAGGGGGAAGTAGTGCCTGAAACTTGTTGTCCGCGTTGAATTAACCATTGGTAGTCGAGGCAGGTGTCTTAGCTTTCTTCTGGAAAACAGTCAAATAATAACAGTGTGATGAATCAGGGACAGGGACAAAAGTGACCATGAGTGTCAGCGGTATCGCTTCCTAAAGACTCCAGTTCTAGCCGTCCAAACTACAGCACTAACAGTTTTCAAACTTAAACAGGGTCAGCAGCATCTCCAAAAGTCTCAGTTTTAAGGGTCTTAAAGCTCCAGAGTAGTGTGGAAGCAAGGCACAAAGGTACATACTACAGTTTTAGCATCTATAAAAAACTAAAAGCACGTTTTTGTCCTACTGTAAAAGTAACAGTAATACCATGTAAATAATGTGAATGATATAAATCTGAGGAATAGTACCGTATCACTGAAAGCATCAAAATCAAAGCTATAATTAAAATCGCCTTCAGAGAAAACTAAGGTACAAAAACATCTCTGTGCCTGATTAATGATATGAAAGTCAAAATGCAACCATACACTTACAAAAACACTGATAAATACCAAATTCTCATAAATTATTAATTTCTAGCTGAATAAAACTAAACACATTTTTTTCCAGACTAAAAAAAAAAATCCCATCATCACTTCTGTAAGAACAATTTAAAGCAATAGCAAAAAGGTACTCGAAGGCCTAGCAAAGGATTCAGTAAGAGGGCTTTTCATTCAAAGTTTAAAGAAAAAAAGAAAAGAAAAGGTAAACGAATACAAATTTAACACTCTGTATCCTATGTACTCTCTTCTGTTTGCTGCACTGAGGCTTTGAGAATGCAAATTATGTTTTGTTGGCTTCAGACTGCAAGTACATAAGCACTAACAATCTGTGCATTTGTTCCTTGTGTAACAGCTTTAAATAGGCAAAACAACAACTACACTGGGTGGTCTCAAAATGTTCACACAGTAGACTGTCAACTGATACAGTAGCTGTGACCCACCTGTTCAAGGCTGTCATCTTCTGGTAGTGTCCCTGTGTCTCCATTACTGTTGATAGGAATCTCCATTGTGGCAGCTTTACTCATAATGCTGTCTGTCATAATGCACTCTGTCTGTAGGACCAAAAACACACAAAAAAGAGAGAGAGATAAACTGTGGAAACTGCAAACTACTGTGTGTAAATAAAGTGGAAAAGGCAGAGATGGAAAAACAATGAGGCCTAAATGCTGCTTTGAAAGGGGAGAGACCAAAGAGCGTAGTCAAAACAGCTAAATCATTAGGCAGATGGGAATATAATTATCACAAACAAGCGAGGAGGTGATGTTCAAAGAGCAAGGCTGCCGCTCAGGATAAAAACAACACACCTATGAAAGCCCGGCACACGGGAGCCGCCACTACAATGAGCTGTCTTGCTCAAGTGCCCACTCTGCTCTGGGGCTCAGTGACAGGACTCTATGTTTCCAGCGCCCACTCCCTAGAAACCCCAACTACGGAGAGACAGCAAAACTCTAAAAAGGTCAAACTGATTTGGCCTCTTACACATCCCACATTCGAGTACACACACGCAGGCAAAATAACATTTGCAAAAAAAAAATAAAAAATGCTGGTCAAGCAGTAGCACAGCACCTATTTTTGACTTGGGCAGGAGTAATGAATTCTGAGCTTAATGAATTCACTCCTGTAAACACTAATGAGGGGTTTGGGTGCACTGTGTGGTGCTTGTGTGTGCACCTGACAAGGCCTCAGATGATGGTGCAAAACTAAGCCTAATCTGAATGCCTAACGAATGTGAAAGATGCTTATCGTGGTTATCGGTGCAGAGCAGGATGGCAATTAAACAGGTCAAAGTCACACCTGGATAACCTCCAGTATGCAAAGAAGGACATAAAAAAAACCTACAATACAGCTGCTGAATCATTACAGATTATTTGGGGTAGTTTGTTGCTTTTCTTGTTCTTTAGGACAATAACGGAAGGCTTTGAAGCTGTAATTTTAAGTAGAGTATGATTAATGAGATAATTACAGATGGAGAACAATCAGTTGCAACTAAAAAATTAGCCTGATGGTGCGGCTATGTGGTTGTGGAAGATGAATCAAAGAATCACAGGCAACTGATTAATAGTCGGACCCCTGATCTGCTGTTTACACACAAGTTTAAATTATCGTCTTATGTCTAAGGACCACTTCATCCCTTGTGGGAAGCAAAACTGTGCAGAAGGGAGTCTGGCAGATAAAATAAATAAAAGCATTTGTGATAAAGTAGTGCTTTACTTCTTGCCTCTGACTAATGACATTAAAGGCTCAATTAACTTATCCACAGAAGAGTCATGCTGTAATCAAGAATATCCTATTGTAATTGATCATTTCTGATAATAGATAATTATTATACATGACTCCTATATGTTATACATTTAACCTAATCTGATGTGTATCCTGGCAGGATTGACAGGAATGTGCAGCATATGATTAATAAGTATTACTATAATGTGTTATTTTTGGTAAACCAAGGTAAAAATCCAAACAACTACACTATACTAAGTAGCAACACTGCAGGTTTACAGCAGTTGGATTCTTTGCAATATTACAAATGTTGTTTGAAGGCAGGTACAAGTACCGCATGTTTACATTTGCTCTGACCTCACCTACAGTAAGCAGGCTTTTCCATTATAAATGCACATGTGGCCATGCCCAGTCCATTTCCTGAGGCATGACACATTTCTGTTGACTTAAGCTGTAGAAGTGCTTCTCTTGCCCAACAGAAGCCCAAACAATAAAGACAACTTACTGAAATTTCGGATGAAAAAAGTTCTAACGTCTGACTCGTATTAAGTCGTCAGAATAATCCGAATTGACAAAGCCCATAGAACCGTTCACATGACACTGTAATTCTGTAAATGTATAATTACTTAACTGCTTAATACTTAAATACCTAATTTATACTGTAAGAGACTCGAGGTCTTCATACGACGTGGAAACGAGCCTCAGATTCAGCAAAGGAGAAGTTAAGGAAAACTTGACTTACAGCTTTGTTTTGTCCATACTGTAATGATGCAAAACAAGACGATACATTTTAGATAAACCCCTAATGCTGTATGAAACTCACCTTCAAATTTGTGCAACCTTTATACGCTGTGTGAAAATGCAAAAAAAGAGAGCTTTAACTACCCTTTTTTTGGCATCTAGGCCTCAATAGACAGATTTAAACCCAGTATATACTTAAGGTGGGTCAATCTTGACTAAATTGTCCTGGAGAGGCTAAAGATTCTTTAGAGAACTATTTTGTGAATAATGAAAGCTTTATTCTATTTGTGAAAATGCAAAAAAAAAAGGTACACGTTGCTACTTTTCCAGCATCTGGACCACATAAAAACTGTTCCAGATCTAAAATGACTATACTTAGACAAATCTGAACTAGATTGTCCTACAGGGTTAAGATTCTTTAATAGACAAAAAAGGGATATATCCGTGTTGTTTTTGTTGCATGTAGACCACATAAAACTAGGTTCAGATGTAAAACCACTTTGGATCGGGTTCTGGGGAAGACTGTGCCAAAAGGTTAGAGATTTTGCTACAGCACAATCTCTAATTTGCAAAAACTTTATTCTGTTGGTGAAGTGCAAAGAAAAGAGGATCTGACAGAGTTTTCTGCCCATGTAGACCACATTAAGTGCTGAATCAGTAGCTAACTTCAACACGAGGTTTTCAGACAAGCCGATCAAATTGGTGCTTTGACTAAAAAAGCATCGGCCTAGGTACAGTATGCAGCCTTCAATAAGTGTCCACAATGTTTTGTTTCTCAGTCAAGTCACTTAAGCCAGGCGAAACTCAAACATTAGTTACTGATTGTTAATTATAAGGAATGTGCAGCTCCCAAACCTGTATTTGGAGTGCTACATGTGCTACATCTGAGGGAAGGAACTTTATTATTCTTATCATTCCTGACATACAATAACTTTATTAAGTTGATAGTTTGTTATAGGTGACTTGAAATCAATTTCAAACTTTAAAAAGAAAAAAAAAAATCAGGATCAATTTAACTTCTGACAAACACAAAGTGAGCGAGTGGAGAGCAGGCTGCAGGCTTTCACATCTCCTCACACCAGCCTATAAGCTACTGGGAGCCCTGACAGGTGCACCGGCACAGGTGTACTGTTATCTCACTCGGGCAGGCAGCAGGCCTCCGGTGAGCTCCGTCCAACACAGGGGGGGCTTTATTCAAACCTCAAAACTAACAGGTCGCAGCCGCCGTTTAATGAGAATGTGCAAATTACATAAAACAGCGATGAAGCCTGGAGGAGAATTTGCTCTCTAGAAAAGGGCCTGAATCCAGTGGAGACATGCAGCTGTTAGGGAGAAGCTGGTTAAAACAGTAAACAAATCAGGCAGCCCAGTGGGCAGAGAGGGCTGCTTAACAGCTGTAGTAACAATACATCTCAAAAACACAATTAAAATACAATATATCATCGTTTTTAGGCGGTTTGACTTACGGTGTGCTTGGTCCCGTCGTTAAAAAAAAAGAGGAGCTGTTCAGGAAGCTAATGCGAAAGCTAATAACAGGCTAACGGCAGTGCATCCCAGTTCACGCGCGGCTTAGAGGAGACTGCTGGGTCTTTTGTCAGTCCGAGGAAAAAACTGCCCTTCAGAAACAATGCCGTGCTCCTGTTTAGCAATATATCAGTGACATAGCTGGGTAAAGTGTTGTTCTAGCTGCGTTGGTCTTCGGACTCTTCGTAAATAATCCCGTATCTTCTGTTTAATGAAGGCAGCAGGAACGCTTTACGGAACTGACGCCACCATGGAATTCATTTTGCAGACGCGCTCCGACACAAAGATCGTGTGTGATGTGAAGATGACTCACCCGTTAGGTGGTGCTGACATTCACTGTCAAGCTGCTTATAACAAGTATTTTTTTTATTTTTTTTTTTTAGGAATTTCATAGTTTTCTAAAACGTACAATACTAGACATATTTATGATGTAGCAGCTAATACAATGAACACGTTCCCTAATAACTGTTTCCAAGTAGCCTAATTAAATTAGTCTTTAAAATCCAAAAAACTAAAAGTGAAAAATACTATAAACATTATCAATCAGTTTCCACGGAAGCTTTAAATAATTAATATTGTGCCTACAAGCTGCCTTCATTCTTGTCAGAGTGAATGAAATGTGCTGATACAATAATCGACTGACTACAGATATCGCGTTTAAGAATTGTGTGTGGAAAGTTGAGCGGAGTGAGAGCTCTTAGTTTTCATGTCGTGTCGGCTGCCACCCATCTTTGGCAGCATCTTGCAGGTGGTGTGTGTAGGTTTCTGCTGCCGGCTGATCATTAACTCGTAGAAGTGTTTGTTTTGCGTGTTCTTCTAATTGTGCTTCTAGAAATGCCGGAGCTTGTGTCCTCTGTGAATGCAAAGGTTGAATGCAAAACTCCTTTAGTCTTGGAAATCCTGCCCCCTGCGGCTGTAAATGTAAATTCACCTAGATCATATGATTGGGACCCCATGACCTGTACAGCATCTTACCACTGGTATGTACAGAAACAGGTTGTCTGAAACGAGTTTCCTAAACTGTTAGATCTAAATACAATGTGAATGAAACACAGTGTTGTCATGCCTCTATGAGAAATCTCTGGACTCACACACTGAATTACATCCAGCTAATCTGGCATTTTATAAAGATAACGATAACCTTTATTGATCCCACAGTGGGGAAAGTTCACCGTTGCATTAGCTCCAATAGAAAAAAGTGTACAGTCAATGCAAGAATAATGTAGAAACACCCAGTGCAAATTGTAGGAAAAAGAAACAGATAAACACAGTGCAAAAATTTCAAGAGGAAAAAACATTATATACAGAAGATTTATTTATTTATTTATTTTAGGAAGACTTTAAACACAAGATGAGGTAGTAAACAGTTACTGCACATAGTCAAATGAGTTTGTTGGTGGAAAAAAAAGTGCAGCAGTAACAGAGGTGCCCGTGGAGTTTACAATGCAGCATTGTAAAGTCTGACTGATGTTGGGATGAAGGACCTGTGAAAACGTTCTTTCTTACACTTTGGGTGTAACAGTCTGTCGCTGAACGCACTGCTGAAGGAGTTCACAGTCTGATGCAGAGGGTGGGAGGTGTTTCCTATGATATCAGACAATTTGGCCAGTGCCCTCCTCTCTCCCACCACCTCAACGGAGTCCAGGGGGCAGACACAGACTGAGCTGGCTCTTTTTTCAGTCTGTTCAGTCTGCTCTTATCAGGCTCAGAGTACCCCCCTCCCCAGCACACCACTGCATAAGAGACCAATGATATTTAACAATGTGTATGCAGAAAAAAGAGATGATAGAACCTCCTCAGGGGTGGTTTGAGCAATATGGCAAGTTTCCTTGTCTGTGAGAGGTTTATAAAATAAAAAATAAAATTAAAATGTAATTTAAATTTATGTATGTATGCAAAAAAGCTTGGTCACAGATATAGCATAATTAAAATATTAATTCAAATGATATGCTAATAATAATAATCATCATAATATCTTAATTTGTATAGCACTCATCAAAGCAAAATTATAAGGTGCTTCACGTAGCAAGTTGAGATCATGTAAAACACACATCAAATATAAATATGCCTAAAAGAGAACTGCTAAACAAATCAAATTTAAATTAGAAATGGCAAACCCCAAAACATACACACAAATAAATAAATACAAATAATACCAAAAAATGACCTAAACACACAAAAAAGAAAATAAAACATGAAACTAGCCACAGTCAATTCAAAACGGCAAACCCTATAAACAGAACAGCAACTAGGTTCAGATACAAGAATGGAAGGTAGAACAAAAAAGTATGTTTCAAGCTTCAATTTATAAAGAAGCAGCCTACTTTCTTCCTTCAGTCAAGTCATTCCAGCTCTGCCACCTTTAGTCTTCAATCGAAAGTTTCAAAAACGATAGAAAGCCTCTGTCGTCAGATCTCAGAGTGCTAACGGGGTTGTATTAAGATAAAAGATAAGAAATATACTGCAGCACCCAACCATGTAATGCCTTGTAAGTAATCAAACAAGCTTTATAATCAATTCTACAACATACTGGAGGCCGGTGCACAGGGCCTAAAAGCACAGCGGAGTTCAGTACCATCTGTATCCAGTTTTACTATCTAGGCATGTAAAAAGACTGTTTCATTGGTTATTAGTTTAATAGTTTTGCTTTATCTAAAGTATGTGTAAAATGCTCCAATGCCTTCAGTCACTGTTACACATTTAATATGTTGCATGTTGTAACAGGAAAGACCCATACTGTCCCCACCTCACATAAGAAGGAAAGTTAACTGCTCAACAAACAAGAATACCTATTGTGTGGAAACGAGCACGTAAACGTCACATCCCACCCTAAACAGTCGGCCTGTCATTAACATACAGTAGCTTGAAACAATGAGGAAAGCATGTAGTGGGGGTATGCAAAAGAAAAGTCTTGATCATTTTTAAACAAGTGAAGGGGTAACTCAGCACTCCCGCAAGAAATGAATTAATAAATGTTTTCTCTTCTTTCTCTTTTTTTTCTTTTTCTTGATTTTCCATATTTTTGATAAGTTTTTATTGTGATAAATCACCATCTCAAACACTTGTGTGGTGCTCTTCCTTACCTTTTTTGCCACCTCCAAACCCCAGGCTGTTGAAAGAGATCACAAAGCCACAACACTGCCCTCTGTGGATATGTTTCTGTATGTGATTTCCTGAGAAGGAAAAACGTGCTGGGCCACCACTGTCTTGCTCCTTTTTCCTTCAGTGAAGTCAGCCTTCTCGTAAAGATGTGACCTTAATGGCTGTTTCCATTGTTACCACACGCACACGCACACACAAACAGAAACAAACAGACTCGGTGACTTACTGTTTTCTTTTTCTTTTAAAGGGAAAACATGTTTTATATGCATGTTCTTTTTTCTTCATAAAATTCAGTTTACTGTATTTACATTTCAAATCTCATTGCCCGGTTGTCACAAGGAATTAAAGCAAATTTGTTATGTTCAAATGAAAGGATGATAATAGCCGATAATAGCCAGTGTGCAGACATGCTGGTGTCTTAGTCACAGTATGGATGTCATCCCAGAGAACGGTGCATTAAAATAGTTTCACAGGAGATGAAGGATAAAACCAGCAAACACAGACAAAGTGCCGCAGCTGTGTGTGCCCATGAGTGCATTAATACTTTTTGGATGTTATGGTTCAAACCCACTCAACTCCCTCACACGGGCCTGGGGATCATTACTGTATGATTCAGCCTCTTGGTGACAGTTTGATGACAGAAACAAAGCAAATGTCTGAGCACAACACAGACACATGCAGCATATGCCTGGCTGATATGAATTTATTGTCCATGTAAAGGATCCGATCGCTGATGGGCTGAGGGATATCAAACAGCTTCTGTTGTCATGCAGAGTCTGAGGGAAGAGGTGCGAGGTGAAAGCGAGGGAAAGAGGGAACGTTTTATTAATGAATAGATGGGAAGTCGAAAGAAGAGCGGAGCCAAGAGAAACTCTTGCGGTAGCTTTTGGAAGGGGGTGTGAAATGTCATATGGGAACATTTTACTAATGCAAGTGTGCTTGAATACAGTACGACTTTTCCAGCTGTGGGTGTTTTTTCTTTTTTTTTTTTCTTTTCTTGGTGCCAGTCTCTCTTACTACCTGTCCCAATGAACATGGTGTGGTGTTTTGTGTAGTTTCTTGTCATCTTTTTTTTTTATCCTATAGCAACTTAAAAGCAACAAAAAAAAGTTTTACAGCTTGCGGACATGTTGACAGTATAATCACATGCAGCATAATTAGCTACAGATGCTGCTACTGCAAATGTGTGTGTACGTCGCTGTCCACCCGGCCTGCAGCCGCCACACTCCCACTCCCAACTGGCCAGTTACGATCAACTTCTTCTAATTATCATAATGATTCACTTTTATTGAGCAGTGAATTCTGATTTATCGTATTGAGGGGATTTATTGCCTCCTCTGGTTATGCTACAATTATGTTTGTTCCATGTGTTTTACACATGAGATGGACGATGATAATGTCTGAGAGGGAAGTAATAAATAATGTAAAACATATGGCTATACAAATCCAAGTACCCTGTTTTTGAGGGACACCCAGTGAAATCCTATATAAATCACTGTATTTATTATATGTGTGCTATTCAACCCTCCAAAGAAGAGAATGTATAATTACAGAAACAACTTTTTTTTTTACAACTAGTGACAATAATGAAAAAAGAGACATGCCAATAAAATACTTTTTATTAAAATATCAAAGCTGTGAAGTTATGTGCTGTAGAGGAGAATGGGTTTCACAGAGGCTTATATTTAAAGCTACTTCTTAGTACCACCTTAACCTAAAATCAAGGACCATAAGATTTAATTGCTTTTTTTTATGTACAAGGGTCAGGATTTCACTGCATTTTATGTAGAGAAAATACTTAAAATGACCGGAAATGGTTTCCATTTGACTCAAACATACAAATTAACAATTGTGGGAAAATGTTAGGGATATAATGATCATACTGCACAGTGGGGGACACACATTCACATACCCGGTTGTGCGTGACCACCCATTACTTTTTGGGAAAATGCAGAGCTAGCAGTGTGAAGCACAGAGGAGGTAAGCGCACATTTTTTTTCTGTTCAGTGTCAGTTGTAGAAAGCGACGGAGAAAGTGTTTGATGTCCAAGTTAGTCAGCGACCACGTTAAGTGAAATTCTGGCCATAAAGCGACTGCTTACTGGAATCAGGAGATGTTATCCCTTAGTCAGCCACTGACGTGCAGACTCACCTGT